TTGTTTTTATAAAACAAAATTGGTAAAAACCAGAACTGGAGCCACAAGGCCTCAAAATGCTATAGAGTCAGAGCCAATTTAGCCATTAGCCACTTACCTCTTTATCCAATCACTAACCTCCAGTATAAAGAACTACAACTTCCAAAAGCCACTGTCCGTCATCAATGTTAACTCCTTGTTACTCCGTGGACTCCCATCTCTTCCCTGCGAATGCTAGGTGAGCAAGCCAGCGTTTGCAAGAATGCTTTTTTGTCTACATTGTCCAAAAAAACAGCTTGGCACCAACTAAAAGGGGAGTGGAAAAATGGATTTTGCAGCAATGATTCCTGAGAGAAGACAGCAATTTATCTTGGTAGTTAATTACTGATTAACCGGTTTAAGCACAGCAGAGGGACATTAGGACGGATGCTTGAGAAGCATGTTATTATAGACTTGATGTTCACAGAAATGTACAATAACTTGAGAATTCAGTGATTCTGTGCAGTGCAGAAAAAGATTCAGGTCTGAAGGTCTTAAAGTCAAGTTTCAATGCTTTTAAAAAACCTTGATGCTTTGAACAGATCCAACATGAAGCAAATGCACCCATGCAATCATTGTTTGAAGTGTCTTTAAAGTGAAACAATATCAGGTAAAGATTTCGAAATGCATTTGGCAAGCCCGTGTTCTTCTATTCTAGCTTTGCTGCCACTTGAATCTACAGACTTGCTTCCCACTGTTTACAATTTGATTAGTGCACCCAAGTAAAATGTTTGTGAGCATATATGCTGTTGGTGTGAAACAAGCAAACCACACACAAAACTAAACAGGCACATACTGCTACTTTTCGCCAGGAACATGCAATTACTAGTAGTTTTCAGATCCAAGCACTTCCTCTTTTTACACGTTTTCCTTTCCTCTTTCAGAATCCCATGCAGAGAAATAACCACATGTTGCCCTGGAAGTGTCTCAAATGTGGTGACGGGAACACAGTGGATGAACTGTTAAAATTCCTCTGGGATAATATGGTTGTTTTATATAAAAGCTGCGAGGATCTGTGAAATGCATGCAGAACTGACTGACTTCTAATTCTCCGACACTTGATACTTTGCGTAAAAGGCATTGTGACAAACCAATTAGTTGCTTTTATACAGATCACTGCATCTAATGCTGCGTGTACAAATATATCAACAAGCATTCTCGTTGATGAAAGTTTCTTCGAGCTTTTAGATTCAAGTTTTTCAATTTTTATCCATTTCCTGTGGCTGCAAGTGTAACTTTACTACGATTGTTCAATATTAACAGCCAGCTGATCAGCTGAAAGAGTTTGAATATCTGTGAATATGTGCAATTAGATCTGTTTAATGCAAAATTCTGCAAAAGACTGAATTCTCTCAGACATACATTTAAATTAGCATGTAATTCATATAAAAGTCAGAAACTAAGCTTTTTTTTTTGCACCGAAATCTCAAGGGTTGATGGTTTAAAATGGTAAACAGTGAAAATCTCTAATTTTACCTCTTCCCAACAGGAATGACCATTAACAATCATGACGCATGATTATTTGGAACACGAAAACAAAAAATCCATCAGAGCCAATGTTATTACTGTTTGACATGTCCAAGACTGTGATAAAATGTTAATCATTTTTCAAAGGCATTTTTTTTAATGTAGTAGATTCAATTAGAGTGTAGGTAGATGTAAAGATTTATGAAAAAAAGAGAAACAAACACAGAGAAATTTGCCCAGAGTGCATTTTTGTTTTTGAAAAAATTCAATGCGTTTTCCCAAAATACGTGTTAAAATAAGATTTGTCACAAAAAAATATTCAACTTGATGAAACTGAGAAAAGGGTGTGGCCAAATTTACATTAAAAAACCCACCGAAGTGATTTAAATAATCTGAAAAATGGCACAGTATTCCTGTAAAAAAGTAGTTTCTTTGCGATTTTAATGACTTTCTCTGACCTTGAGAGCTGAAATAAATGTTGGTTTTCATAATTGTAAAAGTAATAAATGGCAAAATAAATGTACATTGGTTGGTCTTTTTGGCCTTAGTCCTTTGTTTTGAAGGTCTAAGACCACTTCACCTCACTTGAACGTGCAAACTGAAAAGGTTAAAGATAAAGGGTAGAAATTAAAATTTGATGCCAGAGACGGAGAGCATACTCGAGATCATTTGCATTGAAGAGAATTCAATATGCATCAATGTATTCAAAGAGTCAACGAGTTCACCGCAGAAGGTTGTTCAGATCCCGACAGAGGCAAAGCAATTCTGTGAAATTCCACTTGCAGATAGGTGTTTATTTTGCCATCTGGAAAAGTCTGCACTTCTGTAGGTGGTGCACTGGATGCATGATCATGGGAATGAAAGGAGAGTGATTACAACACACTGTGATGACTTCTCAAATCTCAGCGTGCGGAGCACCAAGGTCAGACTCTTCAGAGAGCAGTTCAGAATCAGCTGATATCTCAGGGAGTAGCTGCAGAGAGTGGATAAGACCACCTGCGGGTTTGTTGAGGATTTAAGAGGGAAGTGCTGATGTGCTGGAATTCAAAAAAAGTCTTTCAAAGACATCTGTGGCGCGATATGCAGCTAGCAATGTACCGCTGTCTAAATAAATCTGAGTTTATGTTGCTTGTTTAAGGCTTTGCCATATCTTGTCATGTCCCTGACTGGGCACTCACCGGTGTTTCCTGTACTCATGTGTTTTTTCGGGCCATGAGTCTTAGCTCTGCTCAGACTCATGGCTTATGAGATCAGGCATGAGAAACTCTTCTGTGTTGTTGTCAAATGGGAGGCCAGCTTAAAAAGATACAATTATAGGAGGGTATTGGGGCAACATCCCGCCACTCACTGCTCCTTGACTTTATCGTGAATAAGACTTCATGTAGTAAATAAACCATAATACAAGTTTATAAATCATTAGGGATAAAACATTTTTATTTTTGTCTATAGTTGTGGTAGGTCAGAAGTGCACAAAAAAGGTTGTTTTGTCAAACTGGGGGCTTAGTCTGATTAGCACATAGACTGGCATTCTAACATAGGCCTAGAAGCAGCATTTAAAAAAAACATTAGCATTGAGCCCGTCAGAGGTGAGAAAATGGAGAAAGAGGCACCAAAAAATTGTGTTAAATCGCTTAACCCTTGTTCAAATTCACTTCCCTTTCATGTAACTGTTAAACTGCTGCTGTGTTTTATTTTGCATACATCTCTTTATCTGCCTCAGAGTTCTAATCAAAATACTATCTTTTTTTATCCAGGACTTTAATTGCAAAGATCTTACATGTCACTGATTTTGGGACAAATTACTAAAATGATTTGTTTTCAATAAGAAAAGTTGATGGATTTTTGAGTTTTTGACAAAGCGTTTTCTTAAAATATGTGTAAAAAACGAAATCACCAAAAATCTTTGAATTTGATCAAACGAAGACTCAAAATCACCAGAAAGTGCCCGTTTGGGCTATTTTCTTAAATAAATTCTTTCAGTAAATTAGGTTTGGTTTTTTTTCATTTGGTGAAATTCTGTTATTATTCAGTGTTATTGTGAAAGAGTTCACTTGTAATGTCTAGTTTTGAAAATGACTGTTTGCAACCAAACAATTGCGTTAATTTCCATGGAAAACAAAAGCTGAGCAAATGAAATGTTTACTTTCCAAGTTTATTGTATCACTATTTGTCAAGCAAAAAGAGCAGGGTTGACCACCCATGGTCTCAAACATGTTTATTTGGAGTGATGGCACTAAAAAAGTTATAACTTATATATAATTATATATAATGTAATTGTCAACCAAAAACAGTATTGTGCTCTTGATGGAAGCAAAAACATCACATTTTGTAAAAATTGAGAGTTCAAGGACAAAGTGTGTAAAGGATTTATCTGCAATCACACAAAGAGCTCATACAGAACAGCTTCATCTGTATCCATCTGTCACACTTTTAAAAGATAAAATCTAGCAGTTACAAGGATAATTGCGGTCACTATTGCTGAAATAAATCTTTAGATTTTTGAAGCCTTTTTTCAGAAATTAACAGACCCGTCTCACAACACCACAGAACCCAGAGACCCTGGAGCAGGACAGATGGATGGATGGACAAATTTGAAAGTTAAAAAATGGTAATCAATCAAATTAAAATCACATTACAACATTAGTAAAGGAGGTACATCAACTAACAATAACTTGGATGTTGACTTTAGGAAAGCACAGAGGGGCCATTCTCTGTCAAGAACTCCTTGGTGTTTATCTAGTGGAGAATCTCATCTGGTCACTCAATACTAGTGCTATTCGCAGGAAGGCCCATGAGCGCCTCTACTTACTGAGAAGACTGAGGAAAGCCCATCTGTCACCCCCTCCCCTCCTCCCACCAACCATGTTCTAAAGAGCGGCCTTCAAGAGCATCCTAAGCAGGATGGCGTCCACAAAACCCAGGATTGTGGATTGAGAAAGGCATTGGAGTCTTTCTCCTTGCTGTAATGAGCATTTCCACCAAACCCTGCATCCACAGAGCTCACCCACAATGCTGGGGGCACTGTTTTTTATCTGAGGTACTACTTTGGTGAAGGGAACGTTTTTCAGCTAATCGTTTGACGTACATTATACATGATGTCACCTCACGACCGGCAAAAGATCTTAAATTTATCAGAAAATACTGTGGGAGTTTATCAACATCCTAAATTTACCTCAAGACGAAGATGCTAGAAAAGATTGACAGCTGAGCATTGCGGTGTCCCAGACACCAAAGGCCACTCGGGCAACGCGTGATTCATATTTGACTCTCTAGAAATGACGTTTAGCCAACAAGGAAAGGGCTGATGTTGCCAACTTTGAGCCTCTTTGCTTTCTGTTAAAACCTGGACATCATGCATGGTACCTCCATTCTATACAGTCAATGAGGTAAATGAATGGTCAGCGAGGAGTGAGGGGGACATCCTTCACTGCTGATTCACGAAGATCACTGTAGGTAAGTAACTTGACTCTGTTTGCAGGGAGCACAGCCAAGAAGGTATAAGTATAGTGTCTTTCGGGCAGTTGTGGCTTAGTGGGTCAAGAGATTGACTATTGATCAAAAGGTCACTGGTTCGATACCAAATTTGGTCATAAGGACATTTTGGAAAGAGGGAGTCTATATGTCCAGGCGCAAACCTTAACCTCAACCAGGAGGTGATTGAATTCAGGTCTGTTTTCTTATTATGGTAGGTTGTTCTGATTAAGATGCCGTGCTGGTAAGTGAATCCATGGAACCGTGATGGTTTTTAATCACTAAGACAAGCGACAAGATCTTCCAATTTCAGCTCGCAAAAGAGCTCCACCTGGGTCATGTGAAACTGCCGAATACAGCCAATCACATCCCCATGGCCTAATGACACAGCGCTAAGTGTTTTCAGAGCAATAAAGCATTAAAAATGTTAATACTGAAGCAAATAAATGCTCATGCCAGATGGTTCTGAGAGCTTGGCTGCATTATTTATCTCTCTACTTTTATAACACTTGGCCTGCTATGATTCAAGCCCCCGATGGAGTGAAAACAAAATGCATGCTGACTAAATTGCTTCATTATCATGGAGGTGAATCAGGGAAGAAATTTTGAGAAAGCTGAAGTTATTTAAATGGAAACAGAATTGTCAGGCTTACAAATTGTAAAAGCTTAGGGATTTCAAACAAAGGGCCTGAAAGGCATCAAGTTATGTAATAGGCCTACAAAAGTGGAAACAAAGGCCAGATGTGAATGTGTCCCCTACTTTTCTAATGACTAATACATCAACGAGGTGGCAACATACACTCTAAAAAAAGGTTCTATATAGAACCAAATCTGAAACTTTGGCTCATAAGCAAAGGTAAACATTTTTTGGAGCCATTTAACACGTATATTCAAAAGAGCTTTTTAGAACCAGCCATACATCAAATGTATGAAATAAATCAACTTTAGCATGATATATATGACCAGCATCTGTATATAGCACATTAAACACTAAGAACTACTTTAGAACCACAAGTACCAAAAAAAGAACCAGTGAAGAACCAAAAAGAGCTTAAGGAGTTCTTTAATTTGGGAAAAAGCTATATAGCACTTTCAAACCTTAAAAACCACCGGTGAAGAACCAACAAGAGCTTACAGGGCTCTACACATTGGAAAAACAGCTGTATAGCGCTTTCAAACCTTAAAAAGAACCGGTGAAGAACCAACAAGAGCTTACAGGGTTCCACACATTGGAAAAACAGCTGTATAGCGCTTTCAAACCTTAAAAAGAACCGGTGAAGAACCAACAAGAGCTTACAGGGCTCCACACATTGGAAAAACAGCTGTATAGCGCTTTCAAACCTTAAAAAGAACCGGTGAAGAACCAACAAGAGCTTACGGGGTTCTACACATTGGAAAAACAGCTGTATAGCGCTTTCAAACCTTAAAAAGAACCGGTGAAGAACCAACAACAGCTTACGGGGTTCTACACATTGGAAAAACAGCTGTATAGCGCTTTCAAACCTTAAAAAGAACCGGTGAAGAACCAACAAGAGCTTACGGGGTTCTACACAATGGAAAAACAGCTGTATAGCGCTTTCAAACCTTAAAAAGAACTGGTGAAGAACCAACAAGAGCTTAAGGGGTTCTACACATTGGAAAAACAGCTGTATAGCGCTTTCAAACCTTAAAAAGAACCGGTGAAGAACCAACAAGAGCTTACAGGGTTCCACACATTGGAAAAACAGCTGTATAGCGCTTTCAAACCTTAAAAAGAACCGGTGAAGAGCTTAAGAGTGTAGCTTTTTTCTGTGTTCTGTGTTTTCGTTGACTGTAAAATTGACAGTATCTTATTAATAATTGAAACTTCTTCCTTCTTTTTTGGTTGACAAACAAATCTAAATCTCCACCTAACGTAACCTTGTGAGGTCATTCATGGCCACATCTCTGCTCGAAACTGACTCCTTGATGCTGGGGTTAATGTGAAAGCTTGCCTTTTATTGCTTCTGGCTAGCATTTCGTCTATAACCATTTCCAAGTCTCACCGAGCTGAAAGAAAGAAAATGATTTTATGTTCTCTTTGAAAAGAACTTCCTCAAAGTAAAGCAAAACTTTTTTTCTTCCTGATATCCAACTGGTTCGGTGTGTTTTATTGCTGTAAAACATTGGACGGCAAGTGCTTGTATCGTGAGATCATTTCAATTCAATTAGTGAGGAGGAATATAGAAACACAGCATCAATTAATTCAATAGGATCAAAGACGTAAGGCAATAAAAGTTCTCTTGAATGAAATAATCCTGACATATCTCTTCATTAAGTAAAATATCAATCTGATGTGCTCAACACTAGTAGTTTCTAATAGATTTCTTCTCTTAGACCTCAAGATTAATCAAATAATGAACAACAACCATAAAACAAGAGTCCAAGTTCTACATCCAATGGAAAATATCAATTCCTTCCAACTCTGAAAAATGAAAGAGAAAGAGAGGATGAAGAAGCTTCAAGGTTTGTGGGGTAAAATCGTAGCTTCACTGAGACAGTGTGTCAGTCACCTCAGTCGACTCCGGCATCTTTTTTTGTGCTGCCTGATTGTTTATATCGCAAATGTGCCATATATATTTAACAATTTTGCATGGGATTTTTCACCAAAAGTCTAAGAGCCATTCCACTAAATAGGTGCCATTTCTGTCCCTAGGGCTTTATTTGTATAAATGAGCATTAAACTTGATTCATAAAACATTTTATTACTAAACAAAATGTACTATTTTTATTGCAAATTTAAGATATAACATTAATTTACTCCTTGTGCCAGTCTCTGATGCTACAATTTACCATAAAATATAATGTTTAAGATCTTTGTTTTGCATTGACATGTAAATCCATTTTTAACGTTGGTTTCCAATACATTTATTTACACACACAAAAAAAACATTCTAATCATGTCTCCAGCTTTTTGCTCATTCCTGTTACCCATCCCCCACCTGCAATACTGGTGAAGTCAGTTTTTCAGCAGGAAGTTGCATCACTTACAGCTTTAAACTTTAGAAGGCCATGGAAAGAGTAAGTTCTATCAATTCTATTATTTACATATTTGATGATTTTCTAATTAAATTATTTCAAATCAAATTATTTCAGAGATTTATTTAGTTTAGTGTAACAATGCACAAATTTGGTAAATAAGTGAATTTGCAGAATTTCCTGGTGATATAATCATGCACCATGTGGCATGTAATTGCTAACTCTGCTAAAAAGTCTTGTTACTTTCAGTCCTGTTACTTATATAAAGAATAACAAGAAAAAAATGCACCCATCTTTTGATTATAAATCTTATTCAAATAAAAAATACATTTTGAAAAATGACAACAAGCAAATGGCACCCATTTGGTGGAGAGGTTCATAAGTGTTCACTTTGTTGTGGTAAATATAATTAGAAAAAAAACCTTCAAATTTCTTTCATTGCCATAATACACTTTTTATTTGATAATTAAAGTAAGATGGCCCAATCCCATTAGACCAGGTGTCATCCCTGTGTGTCATCCAGAAAATGGAATTTTCCAAAAAGCCAACCCTTAGTATTGCATGGATGCTAATGAGGAGAAAAGGATGCAAAAGCCAATGATTCCGTGTGCTCATCTGTTTGGAGGCAGGCACAGCAGCACTGGGAGGTTTTTTTGGGCCTTGACTTTGTTGATTAGTGAATACTGGACCATAAGTATTTTTAAATATCCACCATTGCTTAGTTTTATTTTCAAAAAATTATTTATAGAAGGATTTACAGTTTAATTAGAAACAAAGGTGCTTCCCTGACGTCTCTGACTGTAATTCACACTGATTTGTCCCATCTCTATAATCTCTCTTACCAAGAATCAAAGAAAGCTCTTATTATGCCTATTAGGAAAGACTCTTTGAAGCAAACGTTTGATGTGATATTACTGTCTGCTTTCATTAGCTGAACTTGTCAAGTTCATTCTCTGTTACTCTCACCTAAGTGTTCATAGAAGGCAAGCAACATTTGTCCACAGTATTTCTGTATCCAAGTTCTGGCTAATTAAATACAGATTTTCACTTTTCTCAGAAGGCTGTTTGTTTTGCAGCTGGCTTCACAAATAAATCAAGTGCTAAGCATTTAAAAACCACAATAATCAGTTATTTATAACATCAGCTAAAAGTGAAATCGCTAGCACATGTGATGAGTTACAAAGTGGTACGTCACAAAGTTCCATCTGAAAGCTTCCTTTGCAATTGTACGTGTAAAAATTACTTTTCTCATCAAACTCATTCTAGGCTAAAAAAAAATTCTCCGGACAGAAAAAAAATCATTGCAATGTCTTACAATCATTTGTTTTGATTTATGAACATTTCTTTTATACATCATATATCATAAAAATGTTATGACGCAAAGTTGACAATTTCTAGTTTCCAGGTACAATTTTTATTCATAATGTTGTATAATACTGACCTCTAGTGACCCAAGTACACATTTATCACAAGTAAAAAAGATTCTTATGGTATGAAAAGTATTTAACACACAATATGTAAAATTTTCAATAGCATTGTAAAAAAACAACTTTATTAAATTTTACCAAGTTAAAACACCTCAATTTAAAGAGCTGGAGACTGGTCCTTTAGATCCAGTTGATTCTGCCCCCTTTTCTCATGAGGATGTTGTCTAATTTAAATGAAGTATCCAGTTTGGGAAACATAGCAGAGTTGATCAGATGGTGACACGGAGCAAGTAAAATGGGCTGGGCCCTAAGATTTGTGACATCACAATCTAAGAAATCTGACTAAGGTGATGGTTACTGATTAATAAAAGTACCACTTGTTGGTTGGGAAACACCAATAAACCAGATTTTGAGCACACCGTAAATTATAAATGGATTTTACTCCAGTCAGGAACAAACTCTTTTCTCATATTCTCAGCACTCACTACATAGAGATCCATGACTTTGCTCCTGGTATTTCCATTCTAAATTTTGCTAAGTTTTCAGTTAACCAGTTTCTAATTGTCCAGAAGATCACAAAAATCTTCAGTATGAGGATGAAAAACATTGAAACGCATAATCTGTATAATTAAGTGTTCTTGCAAACACTGGCTTGCTCCTCTTTATCCACCCCTGAATTTGAACAGGACCTGAAC